ATTCAAATCGCACCACCTATTGAAAAGATGAATCCATTAAAAAGTAAATGCAATGTAATACTTACACTACATTACTGGATTAATATCACTAAAGTCATTAGAAGTGGGATACCTCAGCAGCAAACCACGGCTGAAACGATGAAAACAAGCTGCAATTCTACACAAATCATTTAACTCATGAAGGTCATCTTCTTCATCTGTCATTTCATTAAGCAGTTTGAAGCATCGTTCTTCAAAATCTTCTGCAGTGCCTACATCGGAAGAGAGATCCAAAGACTTTGACTGCAAGTACCAGATTTCTTAATAATAACAAAGAAAGTAAAACTAGTTAGCACATAGATTACCTCAGATTCTTCAGAATTGTTCTCGGTCATTTCAACATAAAAAAAACTTCTCCTCTGTAAAACAGATGCTTTGGTGCGTTGTTTGAAGAGCACGACGAAATTCTACTACCTGAAGCAGTAATCATCACTTAGATGGGAAGACTAAACAAAACAAACGAAACCAATCCGGTTTTAAAGACGTAATTAGAAAGATACCGACTAACAGGAGATAGAGCAATACATATAAACAACTGGAAATTAAACTGAGAAAAAAAAAACTAAGTTCACCACTACATATCATATACAGTTGCTATCATGCCTATATAGTACAAATAGCGACCTGTTAAAGGAGGAAATAAACCATAGGCAGTAACTGCAGTTACTATGCTTAAAAATGCAGTCTACATTCTTTGTTATGCTTCAAAGTTCAATAGACCATAATAATTTTATGTAACTGTCCAGTAGCTAAAGTTAAACATCTTTTAAACCCAAACATTACCGCGCAGAAATGAAAATTATTCCACCACCCAAACATTATGTTAGCGAAACACAGCAAAAACGTTTCAGTAGTATTTAATATATCTAGAAGCAAAAAGAAAAAAAAAAGGCATTGCATCGTACAGAAGAGACCAGCAGCAAAACATACCCGTCCACTTAAGCGTTCGTAGAATGTTGTAAAAATTTTAGCTGTTTCTGTGGTATATAATAAACTACGAAATATACAAATTTCGACGAAATAAAGAGCATCATGCAACAATAAACACATACATAACTCAAAAGCTGTTTTCGAAAAAAAAAAAGAAAAAAGAAAAAAAAGAACAGAAGAAAGCGACTAAGCGC